TTGAAAACTAATTTTTAAAATTCCTCTAGTGATATCTGATTGCTCAAAAGATTATTATGATAAAAAGACTTTAAAACTTTTTCAAGAATGAATATTTATTTGGACCAACAAAGACATTTTAGAAAAAGAGTCAACATAATTTTTTATTTTTCCTATACTTTGATTAAAACAGAAAATATACAGTCATACTGTAAAGCAGTAAGTATGTTCAATAAAGCTGATGATCAAAAAGAGCCTAACCTTCTTCTGTGTGACAACTGAAAATTTTAATTGAAAAAATACTGTACTCTATAAACAGGACCATCTGAAACAGGTTTAAATCACTTGAGCACTTAATTTTCCCATATTCTTTGTATCTAGATTGAAATAGATCTCAGAAAAGTCCAGAGACTGATGGCTGAATCTAAAAGAAAAAGTCATTTAGTTGTTATGGTCATTGTCAGCTTCAGTCCTTACTATCTTAAATTTCACTAATTGTACTTAACTTTACCATGCTGCTTTATGCCTGGGAGAAGACAAATCACTAGTCAATTATGTACACTAATTACAAATGCTACCTTTAGGAGGCGTTTTAATAACTTAGCAATACAGTGAAGTGTTTCTTCTAACTGCTTACTTTAAAGCACTGTTGATTACAAAAATGTTAGCCAGGATACACTGAACATTTGCAAATACTTAAAGTACACATCTGTACAGTCCAAAGAAACTTTTTTGCTCCCCAAAAGTAGAGAAACCATTTTACAATTGGTTGAGGTCACTGGAAAATAAAATTATATGCTAATTTGTTGCTATATTAAATCATCATAGAAGGTCAGACAAGTCATAGCAAACTGAATTCTGAAAAAAATCAACTAAGTAGATTGGTATGTACCATATCTAAGTAAATGATTTATTTTAGTATAAGAAACAGTTTAAAAGGTAGGTCTCCTTTTCAAAAACAAATATTTTTAACAACCCCAGGTACTAACCTGGGTAATTTAAAAATATTGTATATGAAGAGATTTTCCCCCCTCCAAAACAAAAACAAAAACAAAACATAACACAACACAACAACAACAACAACAAAAAAAAAAACAACAGGGCAGGGTAAAATTTTTTTAAGAGGAGAAAAGAAAAGGGCATAGTATAAAAAAGAGAGTAATTTTCAAAAAGACCCTTATCTATACATTTCTTAAATTTAACACATGAATAGTTCTCATGTTCTATAAAATGAACACAGGTTCAAACTAAATGATAGTTTAGTCATGAGGTGGTAACTACAACATTTTTAAAATTTCATTTCAAAATAAACTAAACAATTACAGGTGTTTTTTTTTTTCTTAGCATAGATTTGTATGAAGAAAATAGGTTTTATTTAAAAATCTACTGATGAAAAGATTTTTATTTAAAAATCTCCTGAAGGAACAAATCTCTTTTTTTCTGGAAGGCACAAGTAATTCTGTGGATATCGTATGGTTATACAGCTGTAAAAAAAATTAATGCTTGCAGAACTTGGACTAACAGTTACATATATGATAATGACATATCCTTCATATTTCTATATTTCAAAGGTCATTTTACAAAAAAGAGAAAGAACTTGGGGAGCAGCGGATAACGGAGAAATCAAATCCTAAAACATACAGAATCACAGGTGCAGTATTTTATAAAGCACTCAGTTTATTGCAGGACACAACATAAGATAAGTGACAGAGATCATCCATGTTGTACCCTTAGGCAAATTGCCAGGAAAAACATAAAACAATAATTTGGTGTTCTAGTCTACCCTTTTTGCCATTAAAAGATATATTTCCATTTTATTTCAACATTGTGAATGCCCTACTATAAGGCAGCTAGTACTCACAATGAGCCATTTGAATTTCCTTTAAATCAAAACTAATTTTTTAATTTCTAAAGGGATTTTACCTAATGATTTTATGACTATTAGTTACCATAAAATGAGTTAGGTTCCCATGAAATATCAATTTGACATCTTGTTTAAATACTTTTCTGCTATATATTACAGGATTGTTTACCCCATTTTCCCCTTACCAAGTTAGATATGGAGATACTTCATCAGGCATAAAATCTTCATACACCTCCACACATAAACACACAGTATATACTTCTTACTATCACGCTTATTTGAAGGATTTTATGTATCAGGAGCTTAAATTCATTAAAAAGGGAACAAAAGTCTGACAAAAATGAAAACAGGCACTGATGCCTAAAAAATCAGGACTTAAGTAAATTAATCTTCATTTCCACTGAAAGCAATCTGATGTCTAGAGACTAAGTTAGTCTACCATAAAATATGGCACATTAAATACTACAATGACCCACTTGAAATATCTTAATATAGTCATGATGTCATCTACAAACTACTATAGTTATAGTTGTATTTTAATATTCATTACTAGCAATTCCAAAGCAAAATACATTAAAACTGTAAAGATATTAAGTAGGTTCAAGAAAACATCAAGCAAATCAGTAGCTACTCTATGACCAAAATTAAGACTCAAAATAAGATTTGAAAAGCAGTGCTAAAACAAAGATAAAAATATTCGGTCCCTTGGTTCTCACAAGTGACACTATTATTCCTGATGGTCTGCTTATAAAACTCTGTATTTCTAGCAGCTAGCTAAAAAGAATGAAACGCTTCTTACAACCAGCTAAAAAGAAAGTCTTTACCATGTCCCTTGAAAAAGCTCATTTTCACATTACTCAGGCTTCATTATGCTAAATCAATATTCGTTTAGTCACTGGGGTTATTGACATATTTTAAAATAAAAGTATACCCTTCAGCTACTGCACTCATTACAGGTAATTTGTCTTGTCAGAGAGCAGGGAATATTATCCTAGTCTTTCAGGGGCTGACAGCCCATGGAAATACCTCCCCATGGTTACAACTGTAAATAATTTTAAGGTAAAATATTGAAAAATCAATGACTGTTTCCTGCAATCTGTCACAAACAAATCAATCATAATCTGTACTGCCAGAGAGTATGATTTGAAGGAGATGGGAGCAGATGTAATTCTTGGCTGGAATCTCTCATTTCAAAATCACTTCACATAATGGTGTCATCATTTAAACACTTAACAGTCAGTGCAACTGCCACTGCAACATCTAGCTGGACAAAACCACAAGGAGGAGGAGGAGAAAATGCCATCACTATTATGTTAACGAACATTTAATTTAAATGGTTGCTACATTAGTAAATTTCCACTGAAAACAGTTTTACCTGCCCCTTTCGCAGTTCTAAATTAATCAAGGCTGCTTTCTGTGTACTCATACCCAGGAAATTAGCCCAGGACTCAAATTAGATTCTCTGAAGAACATATGCCTTTTATTTTAAAGGCCCATTACATACAATAAATTCTGAATTAACACAACATTTGGAATGCAGGATATCCATATTTTATCTTGTAAAAAAATTCAAAAAATATTGTCATAAATGTAAAGATCATACTTTTATGACTTAAAAGTAGGCATAAAGTTCTTTGTTGCCTAGATTTTGAATTTTGTATTTTTCTTCTATTCAAATTTGTAATACTGAAACATACTTTAAAATGATCAGTAAGAAATGGTCAATTTGGCCATTTTCTACACATTCTTTCATTCTACACAAGCTATATCAGAGTGATAAAAACTAGAGTAATAACCCAAATATTCGTAGCTGGCCAAAGTCATAATACTGGTCTGCTTTACAAATGTAAACTTATCTCCAAATAATAATTTTGATACCACTATTTTTTTTCTAGACTACATCTTATGGCTTCTTTAGCTGCTTATCCCTTCAGCATAGGCATAAATAAAGAACCTACAAATTGATATATTTCCCCTTCTTGTTAACCGAAAACACTATCTGACTTGAAGATTAAAGAGTCCTTTTTCCAAAGGTTTGTGTTTTTAAATATACACTAGTTCCTTTAGTAGAAGAAATCACATTTCTTACCAATCGCCTAATTACATAATTAGACCATGAAGTCCTTTATTGTTTTATTAATATTCCTCCCCCGATATAGTTCAGGGGGCAGATATATTTGGTGACTACAAAAGTATATAATTTTTCTTAGGAAAACACATAGATATACATACCATTACATAATTTAATCTTGTATAAACATTCTTCGCCAAAGTACTTAGCCTTCTACAAAGACCAATTTATAATTTGATCTGCACTGTTACTGTGGCAACACAGCATCAAAAGATAGAAACTTTTCCGACAGGTACAAGCTGAATCTAGTTTTCCTTCTTCAAGACTCTAAGATTTCTACATTGCTAACAATAGGTTTTTGAAAATGAAAAAGCACACGGGTAAATTATCAAAGACATTGTCCAAAATAAACCAGAGTCTTCCATTCCCTGTGAATCTCTGCAACAGCTGCAAAGTACGTAATGCAGCAAGCCAACCAGCATGTAGAAAAGGAAAATATTAGCCATAGCCTAGGGTTACACTATAAGTGGGAAGCGACCTGCAGCTCTGAAGCAGAGAAAGAACCCGGGTGTGTTCTCCTGGGCTCCAGTTCAGCACAACTCCCCAGGATGGTTGGTCCCAGTCAAATTCTTGCCAGAACTAAGAAAAGAGTAGTCAGCCACCAAGTCTTCCACACAGAACGTGGCTGTGATGGACAGTAAATCATCCTGAAAAGGACACATCTCCCCAAGTGAATATAACAAAGGACTGGGAAGGAAATGAGGACAGTCCAACCACATGCTAAATGCATGCACGTCAACCACAAACTACAGTGTCACCCACTAGAACTGTGCAAGACACCATTGTAGATCTAATTCTCAGAAAGAGGCTATTTTAAGGGTGCTGAGTATGCCGAAATGGCATTTCTCTGCTCTCCCAATACAGCCCGTAGCCCTCAGAGAAGCAGCCTCAAAAACTTAGCAAAGGAAAGTAAGGTAGTCCCCAAATTCCAAATTTAAAGACATGCTGCGTACTCAACAAAATTCTATATATAATAAAGGGTACGGGTTGCCGAGGAAGGTACTCTTTTAAAAGAGAGAATATTACCTCCCTATCTTCTGAATCTCCTCCTTCCAACAGCCAGTACAGCAGCCGTGGTGAACTATGGACTGTTAAAGAGAAAAATACCAATAGTTAGCTTCGTCTCTCATACTACTTCCTTCCTTCATGGAATTATAATTTAATTACCAGTACTTCAATTGATTTTATTCCTGGATGATACATTTTCTCAGAAAGCATACTCTTTAGCTATTTCCACAAGAGAACGTTTAATACAACCTTCACAATTAATCAATCATGACCCATAACTGTTGAAAAGATGTTCTCTTCCTATTTGCAAAAGTATGAGGGATTCTTACACATCTATTATAAATAAAAAGAAAAGAGTTTTAATACGTTTTAATATCTACAATATATATGAAGTATGAATCTTAATCAGTCAGGCTGATGACACGAGAAATTAACAAATCTACATATGTTTAGATAGTCCCTATATCTATTTTTACAAAGAAAAAAATCATAAAGCTGGATCCTGTTATTTTAAATTCAACAACTCTATACAAGCTTTACAAACAAAACAAAAAACTAAGTCTAAAGATATACAAAGAGGAATCAGATTGCTTAAAGCCAGTTTCTTTATATTTGTATTGTGTGTTTTCTAATTTGCTATAATGTTTCAGCTCTTGTTTTTACATGACACTCCAATTCCTTAAGTTCTAGTCAGTAATAGGACATGTCTATTATTTATGAATAATTAAATATCACTTCATATTACATTAAAAATAACTTTAATGCCTTTGAAAGTATTTATAGAGAAGCATTTGCTCTGTTGAAGGCTACACTAACTATAGCTGCCTTGTGTAAAATTAGTCTTTCTCTTGGTCACACAATTACATTTATTACTTAACAGAATGTTAAGTGTCAATTCCAGTTCCTTGTTTTGCCCACTACACAACAGAGAATAATTCTTTTTCAGCAAAATAAATCTTTTTCACAGCTTTTTTCTTCTACATGTAGTTAACAATCCTACTCTGATTTGAGGAATGACAAATTTTGTGTATACCTGTATACTCTATCATTAAGAGTCTGGTTTCAATGAGTACTGTTGATATTCCCACTGAATTTATTTTTCAAAGAGGTAGATATTAAAAATAATTCAAAACTTTGATTTAGTATAAACATATTATTCACTTTAAATAACCATTTCATTTCTATAAATTATAACTTGATTTTTATGAAAAGCAATGAGGTTATAAATTTCACTCTCCAATGATAATGTTAAAATAAATTATTCAAGGTAATTCCAGGATAAATGATAAATAAAAATAAATAAATTATTCAGTGTATTTTTCTATTTACTGCATTCCTCTTTAATGCAGTCATAGAATTTTAATAATCAGAGGCCTCAAGTGGCATTCTCAACATTTTGCATGTAGTCCCTATTACCAATAAAAATTGTTTTTGTAAAGCCTAACCTAATACTGTTTTGGGGTTACTTCATACACAAGCACACCCACCGTGTGCAGACACTCACTTGCAGATGACCCTTGGGATGTACTAAGCAAATGTCGGCCACCATTTGGAAGAACTTCATGGTTAGAAAGTGAACTTAGTGGGAAACATCCAAATGTATTACACAGGCATCATACTTATCACCTGCACAGAAAATAGAAATGTTTCTGTTTAAGGAAACACAGAAGAATAGTAATACTTTTGTGATATTTGATGTGAATATCTAACCTAATTTTCTCTGAAGTATCACTCTCCATATTATGGCAAGTAAACAAAAGGTGTATCAAAGTATGAAATATCATTAGCTCAAGAAAAGGCTAGGAAAATGGATTGCATAAATGACAACTGCAAGAGAAAAATTATGTTCCCTTATCCTGACCAAATGTTAAGTGCACCCTTAGTAATGAAGACTCAAACTGTATTAGAATATACTGGTTTTCAATTCTGAAGCATCTAAGTTAATTTGGTAAGCTAAATTGGTGCTTAGGTATGCTACAGCTATAAAAACACTGAAAATTTATGCAGAAATAAGTTATTAGTATCATACTTCAGAGTAGTGCTGTGAAAGCAAACCACTGTCTTTATTGAACAAGGAAAACAACTCTAGATTTTACACGTTACTTGAACTGCTGCTATTCTATTAAGAAAAAGGTATTTTTATGAAACAGCTAACAAAAATAAAAAAGATGTTAAAAATACGAATGTTAACACATTGTAGAAGTTGAAGAGAAACATACTAAAATATTGAGACACTACTGACTCAAAACAGGCTATGCCATTTCACAATTCATAATCTAACAGAACACATTTGACTCAATTTATGACTACCTGATTTCATTTACTTCAACTATAGAACACTTTTAAGTTTTTGGAATTTCTAGAATGTATAAATATATTAATTATTTATATTTGAAAATGACAATAGGTAATTTATGCTCCTATTTCATCTTTCATTTCTTTTTACCTAACATATAAGATTTTAAAATAACACATAGATAATAACATAAGGACGGGGATTATGGCTGCCAGAGGAAAAAAAATTGATGGGTTGGTTGGAAGATAAATAAAGCAATTATCTCAAAATTAATCCTCTTGTTTTGCTCTCAGCAAACAAATCTAAGTAAGTCTCCCTTTGATTTTAGTTTAACGTGAAATTCTAACTAGCTAATTATCCTTGGAGTCAGGAATGCGCTGTGACTGTACCTGGCTTTTCTCTATCGTATGCCTAAGGTCTGCTCCACTTTCATTTCCTCTTTCTACGATGATGAGTTTTAATATTAAAAGAAAATACACATACATCTTAGACACACACTAATGGACAGCCAGCTTCCAGGAAATCATGAGCTACCAAGAAAAGGGAGAAATCTTAATGTGATACTTAGGTTAAAGGGTATGAGGTGCTGCATAAGCCAAGATAATATAATCAACAGCATCCATCAGGACTGCCATTTTTTTTTGCATTTGAAGATTTGAAGTAAAAAATAGTAATATTATTTTAGTGGTCATCCAGGTTATGATTCAGATCCTTAAAGAAGTATCTCCACTTGCTCATCAGTCCAAATTTACAAAACAGTACTTTGAAAGAAATACAAGTTTTCCTCTATTTCTAAAGATAAAAAAGCATTCCATAAATATTCTAGCTAGGTACTTGAGAGGTAAAAGAAATTGAGAGCCATAAAACAGTCAATGAGACCATCTTTTCCATAAAAATTAAATGACATACATTTCTCATATATTTACATATACCATTTCTTCACATTAAGTGTGCCTTCTTATATAGATTTACTTTGAACATTGATAAATGTTTGCTTAACAATGGGCTGCTCTATTTCATGCTTTTCTTTTGAAGTTAAAACCCCTTAATCCACAAAGGTAGGGTACAAAGAAAGCTGATACAAGGTAATGCCAAAAGGCCACAAGTTGTATTAGCACATGCTGGGACACTTAACATTAAAATCATTTCTCTCTAAAACTTTTGTTGCCAAACTGCTCACAAAATCTGGAAGCTCAAAGAGAGGTTTCAAGTGCAATTAAATTCTCCAAAAGCAAAACTGTACAAAAATATGCCATCCTTCTTCTGTCTCCATTTATAGACAACATTTTCTCAGGATCTTAATTAAGATAACGATGCACACCTGTGTCAACATTCTCTAGCAAGACAGCCTTATCAATCATAATCCTTTAAGTACACTCGAAAACAGCAAGGCGATATGACAGAAGCAATCTGTTGCCTTTCTTGGTGTTGGTGTTGTGTCTCTCGCACAAGAATGATGAGATCTTTACAATACAGCAGACCTACTTTTATGAGTCTTTAAAGTTTTAACTGTAAACAGCTATTACACTAAATAAACAGGAGTAACCTCTTTGGCACTTGATTGAAACAATGACAACTGTGCAGCCAAAACTTGAAGAGCAAGCTCCCCATGTCTGGGCAACACAGTTGTGGTTCTTATTTTAAAGCTCTGCATTTCAAGAGTCATGCATAACTGGATTCGTGCAGACATGACAAACCAATAAATCCCGAGGAAGCTTTAAAATGAAGTTTAATAACCCTAAATTAATAACAATCAGAGCAAACCTATCCTTAATGTAAGTTAACATGTTCAGAAATACAAATGCAAGAATAAACAAAAAAATCTTCTTAAAAAATTCTTGGAAACCTGGGATGAGAGGAAAAAAAAACCTGTCAATGAAAGTATCTCTAGCAAGTAAGCAGGTTCCCAAACGCAAACGCTGATTAATGAAAAAGAAAAAGGGAGGGGGAGGAAATGGTGAAGGGAGAGGGGAACAGATCCTCAGCACTATCAAGATAAAAACTTAAAACCTCGTGTTTACCAGTGAAATGAGAAAGCTTTCATATAAAAATGGAGAAAATCCGCCAGATGGTATCAGAATTCCTCCTGCCTGCTAATGATCAGCCCTTTCCTTTATTACACGGTTCTCTCTCAGACGCTGGACGGCCGTGGCCAGCCGAGCAGCAGAACTATCAATGTGCAAATAAAGCAGAAAATAAAGACATCCTTAAGAAATGAGTCTTAAATTTGATGTAGAGTGAAGGTGACAACCACAGCAACAGAACCATAAATTCTAAATGCTTCGGTATCTTGCAGGATTCACTCTAGTCCTTGACCCCCCAAAAAGGGGGAAAAAGAGAAAGCAGAATAAAGTAAAAACGCGGGGGGTGGAGTAGTGGGGAAAGAGGGAGAAAAGACATAGCCCTGTGGCCCGGAGAGGCAGGATTATGTAATGAGGATGTCTGCGTGACAGATTCAGATTCTCGGTGGCACCAACCTCCATGGCTCCATTTCTGAAACCGTCGTCCCGGACGAAAGCCGACAGTGATAGAACACTCGTGAACCAGGAAGACACGCCCACGCGAGCCAGCCGGCTGACAGCGACACCCACAGAGGCGGGTCACCCGGACGCTCGTGCGGCCCACGCGCGGAGCCAAGTCGCATCCTGCCTGCCCGCAAGGGGACGCAGACGTTGTTCCCGAGCGGAGGCGGGCCGGGCGGCAGGCAGGGGACCCGGCTCGGCAGCGGTTCACCTCTGCAGCGCGGACGCTCCCTCGTGGCAGGCGCGAGCCCCCGGAGGGCGGCGCACGCGGGCTGCCACCGACCGTTAGAGCGACTTGCTGCAGCGGCAGCAGGCGGAGCCCGAGGCGGGTGAGGAGGCGCTGCGCGGCCGCGGGAGGCGGGAGCCGAGACAGCAAGGCGGGGACGTTCCAGAGTGCTCCTTGCCGCGACCTGGGCCTGCGCCGAGCACAAGAGGGTGAGCCGGAGCGACCGCCAGTGGCCGGCTCCACGCTTTTCCATATTTTAGCCATCCAGGCCGCTTCGCTTCGCTCTAGTCTCTGCGGGCCCGCAACCCTCTTGGCCCGCAGGACCCGCCAATGCTGCTTCTGGCTTCCCGTCTCCATGACAATAGCGCAGGGTAATCCCCGCCCATTCCTGCCCATTTGGCTCCAGGACTCTGAGGGAAACGATCTACGTTGCAAGGGGGCGTGGCCATTAGATGGCACTGTCCAATCAGAAGGGAGGGCAATGGAAGGGCCCGCTCTCGGCCGCCCTAGAGGTTCTCGGAAAATGTAGTCTGGAGGGGTCAGTCAGCTGGGGGGAGAATGGGAGGGGGTGGAACCTTGGAAGGAGAGCGAGGGAGAGGAGGAGTCAGCGCGCGTGCGTGGAGTTGCGCCGCGAGCGGGTGCCAGATAGAGGGGTGAGCTCGGGTGTGCCGAGATTGGAGCTCAGAAAGTGAAGTGTGTCCAGCTTGTCAGAGTCTTTGCGAGAAACTTTATAAATAGTTATGTGTCGGCCTGCTTGTAATCCCACTCCAAAAGGCTACAGAGTCCGGGATACACCCACCTCTGGCTAGCCCCACACCTTGCCGGCCCCTCCCCTGGTTCACCAGCGCCCCTATCCCAGACTTCGAGTGCGTCGGTGACTTGTGGCGGCTGAAGGTAGCGAAACGAGGAGAGGATCTGTTTTGTATTCTAACTATGTGGCTGTGGTTGGTGAGGGCTCCGCCTGTGACTCAGTGGTGTGTGTTTGCCTTGCCAGCGCCTCGCTGAACAAACAGTGGTTGGGTTGGGCGCTGCTGTGCCGAGTGTTTGCAGTGGAGCTTGGGCGGTTGCGAGAGTGCGTGTGAAGAGGACGGCTACTCGGTTGAACAAAAGGGCAGGGGACCCCGCACCCTCCTCCGCCAAGGATCTCGCAGAGCAAACTACCCACTGGAAGCTCCCAGAGAGCGGCTTCGGACCCTGAGGGCGGATACGGGGGCGGTGGAAAAACCCACTAGGGCGCAGCTGGTTTCGGGGCCGGCCAGTTCTACCCCTACCTCTCCTCTAGAAAAAGACTACCCCGGTAGTCCCGGACCCCAAGTGTAGCTTCTTCACCGTCGGACGGAGTTCGGGAAAGAAAAGCCCAGCTCGAGACTTGCTGACGCCCCAGGCCTGGCTCTCGCCCACCTGCTGCTGCAGCGTGGAGGGAGGGACCGTGGTCCCAGACTCCCTGGGCCTTGGGCACGGGCATTCGTTAGCCCTCCTGGGGACCTTAAATTTGGATCTCCAGCTCGCCCTGGGGACCCGTAACTTGAAGGAGAAGCCGTAGGAGCAGTGGGTGACTAGCCATCTCCCAGCTCAGCCTTTTGGAGAAAGGAATCCGCTAAGTGTGCGATTAGCTGTGGCAATAGGAGCGCAGAGCGTCCACCCAAGCACGGTTTGCGGTCTCTTTTTCCCTTTGTGCTTCGGAGTGGCCCGGCCCGCTATCGGGGCTCACAGCGAGTCCAGACTGCCGCTCCGCCCGGAGTTAGCAGGGAAGGAAAGTTGGAAGAGATCGGCGCGCCTGGGATGTGATTGTCATCCTGGGGCCGGCGCTCTAGAGTCTGAAAAGGAGAGAGAGAGAAAGAGCTAGACCAGGGAGGGGAGAAGCGGGTGGTAGGGCAGAGGGGGGTGAGGGGGACGGCGGAGGAGAGGCGGGCGCTAGGGAGGGGCGAGGGGAAGCGCCAGCGAGCGGGAGAGGGAGCCGGGAAGGAAGAGGGAGAGGGTGAGGCGCGCCTGGCGGCCGGGTTGGCTGCGACCGCGCAGAGGCTCCTGCCAGTCCTCCCACCGACTACACCCCGGGAAGGAGGAGCTTCGGGCGCGCACAAGGCGTCAGAATCCTCAATTTCCAACTTAGCATCTTGGCAGGACCTTTGCGAAGCCAAAAGCAGAGCCCCCCGGTGCAAAGAGAAAGCAGCCAGGGAGGGGAGGGGGAAAAGCCAAGCTCGAGCCAGCGAGGCGCGCAGAGGAGCGGGCGCGGCAGTCGCAGCCGGAGGCGCGCGGGAAGCCAGCGAGGAGGCGCCGCGGGCCGAAGCCCGGGAGTCCGGGCTCGAAGAGCGGCGGTCCGGGGCAGCCAGAGTCCAGGTGCCCGCCCGCTCGCCCTCGTAGGGCGCCGCCCGGCTCGTTGGCGGCCGCGGCGCGGCGCGCCCCATGCCCGTGTGTGGCCATGTCCTACCCGCAGGGCTACTTGTATCAGCCGTCCGCCTCGCTGGCGCTCTACTCGTGCCCGGCGTACAGCACCAGCGTCATCTCGGGGCCCCGCACGGATGAGCTTGGCCGCTCGTCCTCCGGCTCTGCGTTCTCCCCCTACGCCGGCTCCACCGCCTTCACGGCGCCTTCGCCGGGCTACAACTCGCACCTCCAGTACGGCGCCGACCCCGCGGCAGCCGCCGCCGCAGCCTTCTCCTCGTACGTGGTGAGTAGGCTGGATCTGCGGCGGTGAGGGTCATCCGGGCCAAGAGAGCGGGCGGGTGCTGCGAGGGACCCGGGCCTAGGCGCCACTCGTCGACCCCTTATCCCAACCAAACCTCGAGGCCCAAGGAAACTTGGCCGACGGTCTATTTCGGCGTTGCCCGGGCCTCGGGTTCTGGAGTTGCACGGAAAGAGGTGCCTCTGCGATCGCTGAGCTGGCAGGAGGGATTTTAAGGAGAGAGGTCCTTGCAATTAAAGAGCAGTGTTTAGTTCAAACTTAAACTCAGGGCTTCCTTGCATTATTTATTTATTTTTGGTTTTACCATTTTGGCAAAGTTCAAAAAGAAACAGACTCGAAATCGGAACAGAAGTGTGCTAAATCTATGTAAATGTGTTTGGCCTCGCCTTTAATTAATCCTGCAAAATGTTGCAAATCCGTAATCCTATCTTCGCAATCCGATTTGGAGGTATTAAATTTCTAAAAAAATCGACAGAGCTGCGATGCATCCGGGATTTTTTTTCGGCCGGGTGCAATTTCTGGAAAAGCGCTGTGGCTTCGGTTTGGGATAGCATTTTTGAAGGGTGGGCGCGCTGCGTAAGGTTCAGCTTTTCGTTTGCATTTCTTGGCAGATTAAAATAAAAGAATGGCGAGCTTTGATTTTCCTTGTTCTACCCCCTTGCGCCCAACATACGCGCTCTGCCGCCCAGGCCTCTAGCTGGACAGAGGGCAGGGCCTCACCACTGAGAGAGGCCAGATCTGCCCAAAGGGCACCCACGTCCGGGATCCGGGCAGATGGGGGCCTCTAGGATGGTGTCCAGCTTGTGATAGTTTCAAGGGTTCCCGAAGGACAATGCGCTGGAATTGGGGTCCCCACTGCCTTCTGATAAAGGGGAGGGGTTGCTCTTGGGTCCGGATCGGTCAACCCTTCTGCAAGGGAAGCTGGAACCTGGGGTTCACCCCCCCCCGCGCGCGCAGACCCTAGGGCACAGGGCAAGTGGAGCTTCCGGTGTACAGGTGACAGTGGAGACCAGTGTCCACGCTCACCTTCTCTCTACCTGTCCTCTGCAGGGCTCTCCCTATGACCACACACCCGGCATGGCGGGCTCCTTGGGGTACCACCCATATGCAGCGCCTCTGGGCTCATACCCGTATGGGGACCCCGCATATCGGAAGAACGCCACCAGGGATGCTACGGCCACGCTCAAGGCTTGGCTCAACGAGCACCGCAAAAACCCCTACCCCACCAAGGGCGAAAAGATCATGCTGGCCATCATCACCAAGATGACCCTCACCCAGGTGTCTACCTGGTTCGCCAATGCGCGCCGGCGCCTCAAGAAGGAGAACAAGATGACGTGGACGCCGCGGAACCGCAGCGAGGATGAGGAGGAAGAGGAGAACATTGACCTGGAAAAGAATGACGAGGATGAGCCCCAGAAGCCTGAGGATAAGAGCGACCCCGAGGGCACTGAAGCAGGTTGGTGGATGCAGGGAGAGGGTGTGTTGAGCTGAAGTTAAAAAAGAAAAGAAAAGGGGGCCTGGAGGGGGCGCGCGCGGGGCCCAGAGGTTGGGGCGAGGGACCCTGCCTCCGGGGCAGGCGGGAACCTGGGCCCCACCGCTTGGCCTCTGCGCCCCTGACAGCCTGGGTTTTGCCCACAGGCGGAGCAGAGCAGAAGGCGGCTTCGGGCTGTGAAAGGCTGCAGGGGCCTCCCACTCCCGCCGGCAAGGAGACTGAAGGCAGCCTCAGCGACTCCGATTTTAAGGAGCCGCCTTCGGAGGGCCGCCAAGACCCGCTGCCCGGGCCCCCTCGAGCCGGGGTGCCCTCCCCGGTCGGGCCTGCGGCGGCGCGGCTCACGGAGGACCCGGCCCCTCACTATCCCGCGGGTGCGCCGCCACCCGGCCCGCACCCCTCTGCGGGAGAGCTGCCCCCCGGTCCCGGCGGGCCCTCGGTCATCCACTCGCCGCCACCGCCTCCGCCGCCGGCGGTGCTCGCCAAGCCCAAACTGTGGTCTCTGGCCGAGATCGCCACATCCTCGGACAAAGTCAAGGACGGGGGCGGCGGGAGCGAGGGATCGCCGTGCCCGCCGTGCCCCGGCCCTGTAGCGGGGCAAGCGCTGGGAGGGAGTCGCGCGTCGCCCGCCCCGGCGCCTTCGCGCTCGCCCTCGGCGCAGTGTCCTTTCCCAGGCGGGACGGTGCTGTCCCGGCCCCTCTACTACACTGCACCCTTCTATCCCGGCTACACGAACTATGGATCCTTCGGACACCTTCATGGCCACCCGGGGCCCGGGCCAGGCCCCACTACGGGTCCTGGCTCTCATTTCAATGGATTAAACCAGACCGTGTTGAATCGAGCGGACGCTTTGGCTAAAGACCCGAAAATGTTGCGGAGCCAGTCTCAGCTAGACCTCTGCAAAGACTCTCCCTATGAATTGAAGAAAGGTATGTCCGACATTTAACGCGGGCTGCGCCGGTCCCGGACTTTGTAATTTATTAAAAACATGGCCTTGGCAGTTATTTTTCCATCATCGAGAGAGAGAGAGAGACAGACAGACAGAGACAGAGAAAGACAGAGAGAAAAATAATAAACGACCCTTACTATTCAAAAGTTTATAGTTTATGGAGATGGATGACATAAAAATGTAAACATCTCCACACAAAAAATGTCTTAACCAACCGAAAAGAAAAAAAAACTAAAAAAAAAGATTTGTATTAAATCTTATTCTGTATATTTAATGTAGCATTTTTGTATTTAAATTGATAATTCAATATCTTTGAAGTAAATTATGAAATCAAGACACCTGTACAGGCATTTAATTTTTTTGTAATATAAATATATACATTTGTGTTTCCCTCAAAACTGTTTCATAGTTTAAAAATACAAGTTTAATTTAATTTTTTACACCTATTGATTTTTGGGGGGGTATGAACTATAAAGTATTATTGCAGAAAGGAAACAGGTTATACTCTTAGATTTAAAAAGTAAAGGAAACTGCAGCCGCCTTTGTAAAATGCAAAATATTTAATTAAAAGAGATTTTAACATAATCAGAGCCACTTATTACTTTTTAGAAGCTTCAATAAACTGTCCATTGCCTTGGTCAAAAGGTGCAAATGCAACTTTTTTTGAGGTGGGGAATGAAAGGTTCCATCAACTCTCACTGTGCCAGGGGAAAACCATAATTAGGCTAGAAGCCCCAGGGAACCCAGCCCTGCCTGGGAATTCGGATTTGGATCACTGATGAGGGCCACTTGGGGGGACATTGGACCCTGGAGAAAGGAGAAGAAAGACCCAAGCCTGTGCCCAGAAGGGAGAAAAGATGGCAAAGCAAGCTAGAGACACGCACTACTCAAGTGCCATCGCTTAACCTAATTACTTCCAATCAGTGTCGTGTTTTATGCAAAGCAATCAGCTGGTGAACTTTGCTAATGAGTTCGATTTTATGCCGGATTTAGCCCTTATTACTATTTCAAAGGTGCTGCTGGCTGATGCAGGCGGGGAGCGTTAGGGGATGCCAAGGGGAAGCCTTTCCCAAGTCACTGTCTTCTCTACCCCTTCAAAATTGGGCATTGATCTCTTCTTTGGATTTGATTAAATTAGTGAACGATCCATCCAAGACCGCCCGGGTGGCGGGAGGCCCTGTAGATGCCTGAGCAGCCTCCAGTGAGGGGACGGTTCCCCCCTTTCACAGGTAGGTGTCACACTTGTCCTGAATTTCGAGCTTGCACTTCCCGGAGACCAGAGAATGGGAGGCAGCGGGAGGAGGGAGCTACCACGGAGACTCGGAGAAGTGCGGGGAGCCCCCGAAGGGATCCCTAGACCCCTCCCCCTAGAACTTCTTTGTGGACAAGTGGTCTTCAAAAGCTCGAGGCCATTTGCCTAGATAAGGAGGCCAACTCTGGTGAACTCGATGAGGCTTGTCGTCGCTTTAACACTTTCCCCATCTCAGATTCAAGAGTCTAAAAAACTATAGAAATATTTTTAAAAGATTTTTATTCTTCTCTTAATCCTGCATGTTTCCTTCAAAATGCAAATTCAGGATACATCTCAATCCTAAAACAAAAGACACCACCCTGAGACCAAGGCCAGCCACCCTTGTTGGCTGGGGTTTGGTGGCAGTGCCCATGTCTCCATTTTGCAACGGATTAGGGAGCCGCCGCTGGTGTTTCTTCGTGGGAAATTTTCAGGAATCGGGCTAGGATGGGGTGGAGTGTGTTACAACAGAAACATACCCCAGCAAAGGGAATTAATTTGCTCGATTAAGCTCAAGCCTGAGTGTGGAGACAGAATGTGTTTGCACATAACACTGGTTTAATTAGGCTAAATCAAAATGCACATATTTGCATTTGTTCTCAGGATTACTCTGCTTTAGACACACCTCAAAGTTTCACTGGAGTTGTTGCTTCTGCTATTTTAAAAAGTCTACAGCGAGGTTCCTTTCGTTTATTCGACTTTAAAGTTCGAAAGCTGCATTGTGAAGATGTTTTAGTGAACAGTGATCAACTTCATGGTTTAAGTTAGAAAATTCACTCAGGGAAAGTGGTTTTAAAGCTGGAAGTGTGAATGATTAAATATGCATGAGACGATCGTATTTTATTTTGTCCCTTTAATTATAAATGATTTTTTAAACAATTGAATTCCAGAGATGACTTGCCCTCCCCCCTCCAGCGCCGCAACCTCCTCCAAACCCCCTCCCCCTCAGCCTGGATCACAATCAGCTCTTACCCCCCTGTTGAATCTGCGGCTCCAAGAATCATCTTCGCCTCCAAAAAAGTCGGAAGAATAGGCTAGTCCCCCTCTCTAACAGAGTTTAAGAACGACATCAACTCGGCGGGGTTTTGGAAGCACTGTCCCTCAACCCGGCCGAACAGTTTTTTAAAAAGAAAATTACAGGCCTCTGTGTGTTCCCGACAATATGCAAATATCCAGGCCGGGCTTCCCAGGTCCCACTGCCGAAGCTCGGCGGAGCAGCGAGCCGAATGCCCGCGGGGCTGCCTGGGAACGGATCTTGCATCGGGAGGCACTCAGCCTTTCTCCTCCAACAAGGAACGGTGCAGTCTCACAGGGCTCCCTCACTGGTGCCTGAGTCCCTGTCCCCTACTCGCATCCCTCCGGAGACTGGCCTCTGCAAGTGTCCATGGTTTTCTTTGCATACTTCTTTATTGATTACAAGCCCCCAATTAAGTTTGGGATTCTTTTTGTTTGAGGAGCTGGGTTTGAGTGGCCTGCGGTTTTTCTGGTGACCAGTTTGGAGGTGGCTTGCCAGGCAAATCTAGTCCGCGGACACTTAGGAAATATGCAGTTGCGTGTCTCTGGAGTCCCACGTCCCTACCGAAATGAACCTCTGTGGTGTTGCCTCAAGAGCCATCTAGGAGGGATGGATCTTAGAAGTGCGGGACAGTGGGGGCCTTCCTGCGTGTGCTGGGGTCAGAGTGTGTTGGAAGGTATGGAGCGGGGCGCAGAGGTTTCCAGAGGCAGAGCTTAAGATATTGCTTTGCTGGGGTTGCGCGGGCGTTGGCCACCTGCTTCGGGCTGGGTCACTTCAGACCCCAAGGAGCACCTTGGCTGGAACCTTGGAACTTGGAGGAGCTGCATCAATCCCTACTATCAAGGGTAGTGAAGTCACCGTGTTAGGTCTGTCCAGGTAGTCACTCCTCTAGCCTGTCTGTGGCGGCCCAATCAGTTCCTGAGTTTTGGGAGTGAGGAGAGAAGGGTTCAGAAAATTCCCGAGGGCGCACCCCCACCCCGTCCCGTTGAGACTGCGGAAGGGGTCCTTCACTTTCCTGCTCCCTAGCTTCGAGTGCTGGGGTCCAAAATGTCGTTCCCCAACTCGGAGTGCGGAGCCTGCTGGGAAGCCTCTTCATTTGCAAACTCCTCAGGGCTATTTAGGAAGAATGAACACGCAGTTCTTGGGACCTGGAAGGTTGAGGGGAAGATTCGTGCGTGCAGTTTCGGCACCAGACCGGTCCCCCAGCCTACCTGTCCCCCACAAGTACCTGCCAACTGGGTTGAAGGCACAGAACAGCGCATCGCAAAGTGCCTAAAGCGAAAGGAATGTGACTGCGTTCTCCAGAGGGAGCCAGAGGAGGACAACGAAGCAGTTGCAGGAAAGGCGCCGCCTACTGGTCCCCCAGAGCCGTAGTGTTCTCCGGGAGGGGCGAGTTAGGCAAAACCAGACCAGGTCCCCACCCACCGCAGCAGAGTTTTAACTCTCAGATTTAAACTGCTTCACCACCCCAAGTCGCTTCAGGCCTGGTTTTCGGGACCTAGTTAGCATTGAGGATTTGGGGAGCAGGGTCTTTGATTTAAAAAGCTTTAACCCTGTGGATTGCCGCCACGGCTTCTGCATTGTTTAAATAACCAGGTAGCAGGCAACTGAGAAATATGTGGGTGACTGAAGCCCTGGAGGGGTCTTTAATGGAGCACAGCCCCAGCGGCGCAGGGAGGGGGAAACTCGCGCTTGGCCCCAGGTGCACGCACTTCCGCCTCTGCTGCCCCAGCCAAGGTCTCATTCCGGGCTGCGCGCTGCCTGTTTAATTTGCGGTGTGTTATGTCCCGAAGGGGCTACCACGCCACCGCGCCCCCGAGACCGTTTTGGTCTTAATAGCTTTTGGCTTTGAGGGTGGACATTATTTTTAAAAGGGAAAACAAATCAAACAGAACTACCCTCCCATTGCTTAGAACCCTCCTGTTTGGAAAGCACGTTTAATGAGGTTGGCTTGGTTAAGCACAGAACCGCTGGAGTCCGCCTACCCTCTGAAGTGCTAACGGGACGTGTGAACTCTATTCACTCGCGTGCAGAGATACTGGCGGAGCATATCCCTTCCACTCAGTCACCAAACAAGAGACAAATCTCGCCTTATTCGGACCGTATGATCTGCTCTTCCCTCAAACTACCCAAAGCTTGGGGACCATCCCTAAACTCACCCTGTGGATCTCTCTTTACGACCAGGCCAGATCTGGTCTTCTTTTCGTTTTGCTGACAAATGCGGCTTGGGCCCCGGGCACTAAGCAGGACCAGACTTCGGCCTAACAAGATAGCGCCTCAGGGGCATGGCTTCAACTTTAACTGGAGCCCCAGCACTGGCCCGCCTCTTGAAGCCACGGGGTTCCCCCCACCCGTCGTCTTGGCGGCCAACATCCCCAATCTTGGGTCCCCCACGGCCGCCTGATGGGCTGCACTGATTTCCAGCGCCCGAACGTGCCCAGCGCGCCCAGACGCCACTTTCCCAGTGAAATCTGCTTTTATTTGCTCGGAGCAAACCCCAGGCTCTCAGCGCTCCCGCCTGATGGATGCAAATGTAAATGTGCACTTATTTAATTGGATCAGGCCCCAAGATAAAAGAGATAAACGGCTCCCCGTTTGCTAACTTATTTTCCGAGGCGTGCAGCGCCGCGTGGAGGGGAAGCTAATGAAGGAGCCGAGCGTCGCTCAGCGCTTCAGCTCCGCAGTGGCGCACTGGCCCGCGGCTCCGCTCCGCGTAGGCTGCGATTCAGCGACTCGTTGTCTATCTGCTTTGCTTTGGCTTTGCACTCCGGGTGGGGTTCCTGCGGGACCTTCTCAGCGGCAAGGCTGGGATAGTGAGGAGGCTCGGTGGTGGCATAGTGTGTACAAGGCCCCAATGCTCGCTCCAGTATTCTCCAGTTTGGCCAGTCTCTGTCTTGCATAATACACCAGTCTTGGTAACACCACGGGGGCCCATTCTATCAAAAAAAAAAAAATACTATCTTCTTCCCCAGGCGAGGCCTTTTCATCCCAGGAAACATTTTCAGGAAGAAAGACCGTGGGCCCCCAAAAGACCAAGCACACTTTCCCACCTTTCAGAGTCCAGTGGAAGCGTTGCAAGGAGGACCCTTTTCAGAACGTAAATGGCCCTCTTTGGAGACTAGGGTTTCTCCCAGAATCAGTCTGACTCCGTGGATTAATCTCTCTTCCTCCAAATACACAGGACACTTAAATAATTTTAAGAGTAGCAGAACCCAGACAAACTAGATATTAGGAGAGGGGATTGCCTCCTGGTTCTTCGGGGGAGGAGGTTGGGGCAAACGAGTTCAGAGCCTCAACGCCAGTGCATCCTCCTGCGCCTGGAGTTTGTTTTCCAATTTTTGGTCTTCAAATTTCCTGAGAAGTCTCTTCGCTGCTCGAAAGGGCTGGAGAGGAGGTCAGTGTGAGCAAAGAAGAGGCCCGATGAGACAGGCAGCGGAGGATGAGTGTAGGACAAGGCTGTCTTGGGCAGACAGGTTATAAGGGGCAGGGCTAGGAGAACTGGACGTGATGAGACTGGGGCCAGCTGAGTCCTGTGAGGCAGGGCTGGGCAGGAGGTCCCATGGAGCCCCCATCCCCAGGAGCTGATGAATTGGCTTGTCAGGAGAGCTCTGTGCACAGAGCCCATCAGAAAGCACTTACCTCGCTAAACTGAAATTACTGTCTTTTCAGGGGCTAATTTGTGAAACTCCCATGGAGGGGCTTGGAGGGGGTTCGATGAAGCATAAAATGATGATTAATGAATTTATTGGCCACTGCACATCAAACAAGAGTTCTGAGCATCCGAGGCCTTGTAGCTCACTCAACACAACTGGGGTACAGCCTCTAGGGTCAGCCACTACTAAAGTTTCCCCAACTTCCCGGCCCTGGGAACTTACCTGTCTCAACCGTGACTGCTTCTGGCTGGTGGTCCCTGTCCACAGATT